TTTACTGACGAGCAAAATATATGAATAATTAAAAAGGGACTCTACTGACGAACAAAATGCATGATAAATAATTAAAAAGGGACTCTACTGACTAGCAAAAGGCGAAATAAATAATTAAAAAGGGACTCTACTGACTAGCAAAAGGCAAAATAAATAATTGTAAGCGGACTTCTACTGACGAGCAAAATGTAAAAAAGATCGAAAATTAAAAGATGTCGTCATTCATATAAAATCCAAAATTTTCATTTAATGAATGTCATAGAAAAATAATTTGTTCTGAATTATTACTTTAAAAAAGAACCTCATGCAACTTGCCATGAGGCAAAATGCCAATAAAAATCTAGACTTAATTTAACCCTTTCCACTCGTGAATTGCGAGATTTATATGTATTGAAAGGATTTTTCCGAGTGAAAAAGCTTAAAAAATCTATGCACACTTTTTTTAAATATAAATACTATATTATTGATGTAAACTAAGAAAATATATAAATGGCAAACTGCCATTTACACCTAGAGTCACTTATAGATCTTTGGAAAGAAAGATTCTAGAGATAAGAATAATTTCAGGGCGAGAGTTAAATTATATAAAAATTTCACAAAATTTCAAAATTTTAAAAACACTGTATTATTGATGTCAACTTTTTTAAACCAAAATCTAAATTCACTGTAATAACTTTTTGGGAAAAAAAAATTCCTAAGGCAAACTGCCACTTACGCCTAGTACTTATGCGACTTAGCCATAGACATTACACTACATGGACTGCTAGTCCTTATATGTTTTTCGTTGTATATAGTGCGTCTGAGCGAACGTTGCCGACGACAATCGCGGACTATATCGATTGATCAAATGTCACAGGTGGATTCGATTTTATGTACAGGGAAAATATTATTAATATGATTAAAATAAAACATATGACATGTGACATTTAATCAATCGGGAGAGTCCGCGATTGTCATCGGCATAGTTCGCTCAGACATGTGACGTCACAAACCCTTCTATGTTTGGGCACTTACTTTGCGCTCGGCTAGCAGTCCATGTAATATAAAGTCTATGGACCTTGTTCATTTAAAAAATAGGTAATGGAACTATAACATTCTAGATCCTCCCCCCACAAAGTAATGCCTAACGGCGATTTTCTTGGGGGACCAGAGACAAGGGAAAAGGACAAAAGACCAGGAAATAGTTTCTTGTTTTTTCTCGTTATTTATTTATTAATTTATTCATAAGCAAGCCGTAATCAATAATAAAAGATATTATTTCAGGCTCTTGTCAAGCTTATTCATAATTAATATTAAAAGGATAGTAATTTTATAATAATCATAGTAGCTGCACGAATTTCGCTTCAGAAAAAAAAGAGCTGAAAAAAAGCATTCGAACATTAAATACAATGTTCATCATCAAGTTCATCATATTAAAGTTTATTTGACAACCAGTCAAGCTCAAAATTCTTGCACAAGGTTGAAAGTTATACTCATTTAAAGGCGATCAAATGATCAGACTACATAGATAAAGGATAAGGATTATGCAAGAAAATAGTTATTGAAATCAAATTGAGAAAATTCAGTAATGTCATAAAAAGCTTATTCTTTAAAAAGTTTAACTAGGGAAGCATGAAATTTTTTGCTGTCTAAGTTTCGGATGTTGAGTGGAAGTTTGTTCATAAAGCTGAATAATACCTAGACTGTCGATCGTATTGAAAGAGCCGGTTAATTTATATGTGCGCGCCTTAATAAGTTTGTGTCTATGTCTAGTGTTGTAGTTTGAGGAGGACGAAGCCATATCAAAAAGTTTCGAATTGTTTTTGATGAAAGATAATGTTACCAGCAGAAAAATGCATGGGACAGTTGGAATATTGTGTTTTTTAAATATGGGTCTGCAGGAAGCCATAGTATTATCCCTTAGTATCCTTTATTTTACATATAAACAAAGCAAGTAAGAATCTTATGCTAGCCAAAAATACACAAAACAACTAATCCTTTATCTTTATCTCACCGAATCCATCTGCCCCTCCTCGCTCTGCGAGCTATGTCCATCGGTATCGCAGCAGGCGCATCCTGATCCTCGTCATCGGTCTGCTGATCGGCCCTCTGCAGCATCAATTTAACCGTCTAAAGTTCTTCAAGGAGCAGAGACTAGCTGAACGAGCACTCGACCAGCCCGCAGACAGGATCTGGCGTCCTCCGGCACCGGAGGAAGGGACTGGGCGAGGCTGTTGAGGTCGATGAGGCTCTCGCGGCAGAGATTTTCTGGGTACTTCTCGTCGAACTGGGGAAAGGAGATAGAGGAAGAGGAATTAGTTGAAAATGAAGGTAAGTAACTGAGTATAGCGAAAGAAATGCCTTTATGCATCCCAGACCGGTCTTCTGTCTAGTTCCCGTAGGGTAAGTTATTGTACTCGTTCAAAAATTGGAAATGAGAATTTTTGCATATCTTTATGTTTCAGAGGTTTCTGAACATTTTTGGCATACCTTTGGTGCGGACACACACAGACTAGAGTTTATACAAAAACCGAAATTTTAGAAAACCGGTTTTCGATTTTTAATTTTACTAAAAAACCGGTTTTAACCGGTTTTCGAATTTTATATAGAAAATAAATTTTTGCTCGAACATTCTGTAATTTATTCGCAAATTTAGTGTAGTTTAGAGCTGTATTTGACTGAATTTATTTATTGTTCAATTTTATAGATAGTAAACAAAATTCATTTAATTTTAATTGGTAGAACCAAAAAATAATAGTTTATCTTGATTAAATAACTTTGAAAATAATTATTCGGTATTCATGCATCATTTTCACATATAAGAATGAAAATAGTTTTATGATAGTGAAAGAAAAGTTTTCGAATAAATAAAGATAATACATTTTTAAATAAAAAACATGCACTGATTTAAAAAAAAATAAAAAAATAGATACATGTTGTTACATACTTGTTAATATCAATTTTAGTTTTAAAAACAATTAAGCTAAACTCGCGTATTGTCTGTTCCGAGCAATTTCAATTAATTAATTTTAAACATTCTAATTGTTTTTTGTTTAATAAAATATTATTTAAAAAAACTGAGA